TTGATGATAACGGCATGAAATGAACAAATCTGATAGAGGTCCACCCAAGGTACCTACATAATAAGTACCACGCAATTGAGCCGATCATTTTTAAGAAGTTGAAAATTGCATTTTTCTTCAAAAAATGACAAAAATATTCACCAAAAATAGAGAATTGAAGATATCGTCATGAACAATTTTTTTTTTTACAGAGATCTAACCAAATATCAAGCCATTGAGCTGGTAGTCTCAAAAAGTCGAAAATGCAATTGTTGACTGAGCTAAAAAGGTGCGAATTTATTCACAACATAAACGCAATTACAGATGTGAGAAAATAATAAGTTTTGGATTTGCGACATTGGAAAAGGAAAAAAAACCCATCAGAATGCAAGAGCTTTGGCCAAAAGCCAAAGGTCAACTAAGGTCAAGTTTATAGCAACCACATACAGATTAGTTAAATTACAGGAATGCTGTTTTTCATCCTCAATCACTTGACCACAGTCTCCCTATCCCCGGTCTAGAAACGGCTATTGTCTAAGGTGTGAATTACCCACTGTGCTCGCACTGCGCTGGGTATGGCTTTCCGCGAAGCATAGTCTCTTGATATAAGAGCATTCTATTGAAACGAATGATTCATTGTTCCCTTCTTGTTCTAGTTTTTACAACTGAAAAAAACATGTATTTTGATAATTTATATAGATTTAGAAGCTCAACACAAGTCTTTAGCCAGCAAGTCTTTCTATAGTGGCATACTGACATTATTATTTGTAAATATCGCACTTAAATTTGAGGGACTCAGTCAGGGATTGCAACTTGGAACACGTCTAACAACCTTGACCGGTTGGGCCCTTCGTCATGTGTTTTAGAAAGATCAATGTTTTTTAGTTTAGCTTTTGGATAGCTTAAACCCAGTTGTAGTTGGTGGATCGGTTCATTGTGCTTGTTTTATTATATTATATTCAGTATACGTATCATATTTAGGCATCACTTTTTCCGTTCAAAATAAAGATGAAAATTCATTGCCATTTGAATTTTCGTGTCATTATTTTTGTTTCCAAGCATATATTTGGGATGTAGTTTACAATGCTAGTGACATCATGTCTCTAAGAATAACATCCTGCAGTATCAATTCTTTAGCACTGCCAGAAATTGAGTAGGCAGACCTTTTTTCGCCCCGATGAGAATATATTTACGAGCGCCATTTTGTTTTTGATTTACTAACTTGCTTGACGCGAGTTGGCCCATTTTATAGTATGAAAACTACGTACAACCATAATATTTTTTTTCAATGTGAATAGATTTGTACATTAACCTTTTGGCGATGTGGTTAGTTTTTCTCTCAGACGTTCGTATTTTGACAAATCACGGTAATATGTTCTGTTTAAAGTTTGTGATCACAGTGCTAAAGTTAGCGTACGCTTAGCTTCGTGGCTCATTGTCAAAGGTGTGAATGGTCTATTTACCCGTAACCAGCCCTGGGACAATAGACTGCGAAGCGTTTCCAGACCGGGGATAAAGGGACTGTGACTTGACCTAGTATTGTATTTGGTGCACTAACAAGTTTTTACTATTCTGAGTAAGGCATTAGCTTGAAAAAGCATGGCAATCTATTAGGGTAACATGAACCTAAAACATAAGTGTATTGATGGTCATTTCATTGGACTTTAAGTAATGACAAATGCACTTACCTCTACGATGAGAACATTTTTGCCAGTCAAATTAGACAGGTTGTCTCCACCAATTACTTTTATTTCCCCTGATGATTTATCATTCTGCGCAAAAAAAAAGAAATGTTTTGATCAATAATTCCACATGTTGACATGCATGTACTATAGACTGTCATATTGCTAGAACTGTGATGTCCATGTTTGTTAAGGTGGGATGGGCAATGTGGTCTATGCAAACCAACGCAGTCACACAAAAATCAAGTCTGTTATGAAGCTTAATGATACATTAGCATGATTAGGCATTTCCCAATGATACCTCAAGTACTATTGTAATTTGACGTATTAAGATCCAGTAAATAATTTACATCACTCAAGTTGTTGTGATAAGTCTGTAGTTTAGGATGTTAATAGGTTAAAAATTGATAAAAATTCACATATTGTGAACAAAACTAATGTTCACATTGTTTTTTTGTTTTTTCAAGAATGTTATTACTTGACATAAACTCAAAGCAGAAAAGCTTCTTAAAAATATATTTGAAAATCAAAACAGTTAACATACCAGCTGTCACCCCTCGATACTGACAACTGAAGGTTAGAGGGTGCACAACTCTGAAATGAGGCCCCTCCGAAACTTCCCTACCAGAAAAGATGAACTCTGTACATCTCATTGCCACAGTACACATATTGTGACAATTTTGCTATTACATGTACGCATAGATGTACTCATAAATTCAGCAAACCAAAGATGATAACAGCAAAATGGAAAAAAGATCAACACAATCAAAGCAATGACAAACCACTCAAATGAATTAAAATGAATTAAAATCTGAATAATTACTACGTTTGTCATTTTATTAGAAAGAGTGGATAAGTTGAAAACGATTATGAACAAAATCCGATGAGGACAATTTTGCAAGACAGTATTAGAATAAGGAGTGCAAACTTTTTCCCTTGAAACAGATTAAACGCTAAAAGGTGGTGGTCATTTTGGAGTGCTATTCGAAATTCATGTATTAAAACAAAAAATGTATTTTACATAAAAGCATTTGAAATCGAGGGAAAAATACTTTCACATGCACGTGCATCCAGAACTGTCTTCATTCCCCTTTTATTTTTTCAATATACTGGTACATGTATTTCTATAGAAAGCTTTAAATAGCTTAATGGCTTATACTAAATAGCAGCAGAAATTAAAAAATGAACATTGAAATAAAATTTTTAACAAGCAGCCTATCGGCTGAGATAGCTCCGCTGTTAGAAATGCACATTTCAATTAAAGAACTGAAGACATCATCAGAAAATGAACAATATGTATAGTATCAAAGCAATCGGACTTACAGTTTTTAACAAGAAGTCGAAAATATCACTTTCTACCAAAAATGACTAAAATATTCACCAAAATTAGAGAATTGAAGATATCATCACGAAATGAACAAATCTGAGAGAGGTCTACATGTAGTATCTATATATGTAATATCAAAGCAATT